CGCGGTGCACGCTTTATAAAATGCTTTTTAATTCAGCAGCAGAATATCATTAGCTTTGTACGTAGATGAATACAATGGACAGCCAATTTGATTAACTTTTGATGCTGGCCGTTGGGCAGGAGACAAAATGAAATTACACTGTTCCCTGGCATGGGCGGGCTGCGGGGAGCGGGGTGTGGAGGTCAGTGGGGGCCCAGACGTCACTCCGGGTGCAGGCCAGGGGCTGACCTGGAAAGTCGGCACTTTGTGAACAAGTCAGTTCTCGTTTGCGAGGGTTACAGACCAGCTCTTTGGGGCCAGGCGCCGTGACGGTGACACCTGTGTGCAGCCTTTCCTGCAGGCCGCCCTCCGGTGACGCAGGCCAGCATGGACAGTCAAGCTGCCTCATTCAATTAGGCTGGCCATCCGTGAGTTTATTATGCCGGAGAAGATCAATGAAGCTCTGCATTGATTGAAGCAGAAGCCTTGTTTCATTTATTGTTTATAATCTAATGAATGTTGCAGTAACTTTGCTTTGATTTATTACTCAATCTGTTAAATTGTTTTAAAACCAGGAGTCTGGGGGCTTCCCCTTGTGAGAGAGAGGGTCGTTCCCCTTGTTGGTAAAGGCGTGTGACTCGGTGCATCGGGCTTGGCTTCTCGGAGCTGCTGTGAGGCTGGGGTTGGCTTGTCCTCTGAGACCTGTGGCATGCTGGCTCCGAGCCGTGGACCCGTCTCCTGGGGAGGTGGGGGATACACCCCTGTGTCTCACTCTGTCCAGTGATTCTTGCCGCATGCCAGGCCTTGTGCTGGGGACGCAGCAGTGACCAGGCCTCCTCAGGGAGCTCCCTCCCCTCCTGGTAGAGAAGGAAATAAGCACACAGCCAGAGTGGGCAGCACTGCAGAACGGGGGGCTGTGCAGGGGCTGCAGTCCAGGAGGGCTGCTCAGAGGAGGCGGCATTTCTGTGGGAACGTGCAGCCTCAGGGCTCACGTGAGACGAAGGTGGCGAAACAGGAACACCTGTGGTGGCAGAGCTTGGCCGTCCTCGGGCCAGGGGCCAGCGTGGCCAGTGCTTTGTGAGCCGGGGGGCTGTGGTGAGGGCGGTGACTGGAGAGAGGGGGACAGGGCCAGGCTTCTGGTGGGCCTGCAGCAGACAGGGTGGGGGGTGCAGAGGGGCAGGAGTGCGGGGACCACAGTGGCGCAGGAGGTGGGGCCCCCCTGGAGCCGGGACAGAGGGCCACCAGTGCCGTGCGCAGCGGTCACACAGGGAGGGGCCATTCGGGGAGGGCGTGGTGGTGGGCACTCCCCATCCAGGGAGGGCCAGGGTTCCAACAGGAGAGAGGGGCCATGCCACAGGGCTCCGAGTCCGTGGGACGTGCGCGGGGGAGCTGCGTGTCCCACGCCCGAGGCTGACCCCCGGCAGCACCACGCTGGAGCTGGCAGCTGGGAGACAGGGCCTGTGCGGCTGCCTGTGGAGTCGGAGCAGGGCCCCCGGGGGGCCTGAAAGTGGCGTCCTGCGGGGTCAAGCGTCCACGCTGCGGGGATGCCAAGGGTCCCGGGAAGCCTCACTTTGCCTCACAGGTGGGCCGTCACAGACTCAGCTCAGCAAGGTCACCGGATGGTGAGGAAGAGGACCAGGCCGGGAGCAGGCGAAGGCCCTGGACGCAGTCCAGCCGCCGGAACCCAGCAAGCGTGAGCACGTGCATCGTGATCAAGCCAGCCTGGGGCCAGGAGTGCAAGGCTGGCCTGACTTTTTACACCCTCTTAGAGCAGTGCTCCACTTTAACCACCTATAAAGCAGACCTGAGTGTGGTTCAAGGCGTGCTGCGTTTACGGGAAGGAAGACCGAGTGCTGTGAAGATGTCCGTTGTCCCCAGGGCAGTCTGTGGGTGAGACCTTGACCCCATCAGGATGTCTGGGTCTAATTTGGCAGCTGTTGGGGAGTTTCACTTGGAAGTACAGACGGCCAAAAATAATGAAAGCAATTGTGAAGAAAAGCAAAACGGGGCATTTATCTATGCTACTGAATGTGAAGACTTATTAAAAAGCTAAACTAGGGGAAAATGCTGTTAGAAATAGACCGATGAGAAGAGTTGAGAGCCCAGAGAACAGACCCCGGGATAGATGGAAGTGTGGCCTTCTCATGAATGATGGGGAACCACATGGATGGAATGATGGAATCGGCATGGATGAAGTAGCACCGGGCGCCTGTGCCCTGCCCACAGATACGTCCCTGGTGTTGGAAAAAGCAGCCTTACGCCTCTTCCCTCTCAGCCCGGTCCTGCCCCCGCCCTCCAGTCGCCCCCCTCACCACAGCCTCTCTGGCCGCGCTGGCCTCCAGCCCGAGGACGGCCATGCTCGGCCATCTCGGGCGTTACCTGCTTTGCCAGCCTCTTCTCATGTGAAGCTGGATGCTGCTGGTTTCCATGGAAACGCTGCCTCCTCTGATCAGCCCGGGTACCAGAGAGCACCGAGGCTCGTTGTGGAGTCAGAGGGAGCTCTCTCCAAACAAAGCATGGGGCCCGAAGCCGTGAAGGAGATGGCGACTCGCTTGACTGCCTTGAACGTAAAAGCTTCTGTCTAGTGAAGGACGCCACAGAAAACTGAGAAGGTGAGCCGAGGCCTGGGAGAAGCCCATCCTCGTGCAGGTGACAGACGCGGGGAACGGAGCGTGGACGCGGGGCAGGAGCACAGTGCTCGAGAGAAACCCGCGCGTCCGTTGACAGAACGGGCTGCGCAGCTGCCCCAGAGCAAGGGACACGGGGGAGACGACTGGTGGGCACCCCAAGGGCCTGCAGCCGCTGTCTGTCACCTGCTCTGCCGGTACCAGGTCTGGGCAAGGGGGCGAGCAGCGGGGTCGTCACAGTGCCGTGGAGAAACCTGCGTGGGAGGTGCCCGCCCACCGAGACCCAGAACCTCCAGCTGTGTGTCACACACACGCGTGCGGGGATGTGCGTGTCGCGTGTGCTCAAGGACGCCACGCCTGTTCCCTGTAGCGTCAGTGCCCGTAGTGAACACCTTGGACACGCGTCAGGGTGTGAGAAGACGTGTGTGTCTCCCTCTTCCGGGGGCAAACCTGCCCCCGTGGCCCTTCCTCGGCCAGTTTGACCTAAGTGTCAGGGGCCGTCTGTTCCCCGGGGAAGCCAGCAGTCTGACACGGAGGTGAGGGCGTCATTCTGAGACGGTGGGTCCCGGAGCATCCGATTTGTTTGCCAGCAAGAGGCGGTGGACACATATCCGAGGGCTGGGCTCGGCAGCCGCGTCCCCTCCCACGGCGGGTGGGCGGCGGCTTGTCTGCGGGACCCTTGGCAAACCCACGCTTCGCGTCTGCTGGACGTCTGCAGAGGCGTGGCTTCTTGTCTGGTGCGGGGAGCAGTCTCCCCGTGCCCTGTCCCCTACCCTGGGTCAGCGGCTAGAGTGTCTAGAGTGCGGCTCGTGGTCCTCAGCTCTCAGCCCCCCAAGGCAGATGAGTGCCCGGGTGCAGCCCTGGGTCCCATCAGCCGTCAGCCGACTCAGTCACTGTGGGAGACTGTCTTTGCTGCGTTTGCAGCATTTGCAAACGCTCGAGGGATCTCGCGACGCCAGGCGAGGGGAACCAGGGGCCCTGGACCAGGTCTCCTGCCGCATTCGCCCCTACTGCTCGCGTGGGAGCCGCCAGGCCCCGGACCCAGGCTCATGCTGCATCCTGTCAGAGCCCTGCCCCGAGAACTCTGGCCGCTGGATCCCCATAGCCTCGGGGCAAGTCTGTCCCTGCGGCCGCGCTGCTGCCCTCGGTCAGGACTCCGGCCCGTGCCTGAGCTCCGGTGGACACAGCAGTGGCTGGCCTGAGATTCACTAGTGGAGAATTAATAAGCACTCCTGACAGTCAGGTTTATAAATATGTAAAAAGCATTTTAATTGTTTCTAGCAAAGCAGGCAAGAAATCAGTACTCTCCGACAAGATGAACACTGGTGACAGGTGCGGGGTCAGAGGACCCACGGCCCGGCACCCTGTCCTGCTCGCTCCCCTCCAGGCATCCTCGCAGCTGCTGACAAATGGGGCCTGAACTGCACTGACGGGGTCGGCTAGATGTCAGAAAAGTTGGGTGGCACTTTGACTAGAAATATTCATTAGAGCTAATTATGGATTTTCTGACTCCATGAATTACAGTTTCTATTCCTACATTGGCAATTTATTTTCCATTTATCATAAACTTCTTAATATTATATTAGCTTTATTGCATTCAATGAGGCAATAGTTCAGATGTTTGCAATCACGTTTATTTACTTAGGCTTTCCTCACAGAGATGAAAGGATGCCCATTTACAGGCCAGCTGTTAGGATTCGCTGGCGGGTGTGGTCCTGGCACTTCCTGGGGTCCCCGTGCTGCTCACGGCCTCCTCTCTGAGGGGCTGCCCGAGGTCAGAACAGAAAGAGGCCGGGCCTCGGGCGTGCGCATGGAGGGGCTGCAGCTCCTCTTGGGGAGGGTTCAGGGCAGCTGGTGAGAGCTGGAGTCAGGTGAGCAGCCTGTGGGCTGTTTATTCCGTGCCTGCATGAGCCCCAGCCACTGACCACACGCCTGAGTCCCCGTCGCACACGCAGACACGCATGCACTCACACACCCCAACTGAAGTTTGAATTCCAGGTAAACAAGTGACTTCCAGCTTCGGGTGCCCCGTCCCTCCCAGCCCGGGCCTGCACGTGGCCTTCTCCCAAGGGTGCACTGGCCCGAGCTGGTCGCCCAGAGCCGCTCCTGGCGCCGGCGGGCGGCTGGTGGTGCTGCTCGTGGTCAGCGGCTCGGGGCGGGGGGCCGCAGCTCTGTCCTGCAGGGTGGCCCCGCAGCGGACGCGGGCAGTGGGCTGGGCGCGGGGGCCTGGCTCGAGGCCGGAGCGCGGGGAGTCCGGCTCCGGAGGTGTGGGTGCTGGCTGCCGAGGCTCAGCGGCTGTGACTGGCTGCCGCGAGCTGGACTCGCCTTCTTGTGCAAAAAACCGCTTTAGAATCTCATCACACCGCTCACTTGGTCTCTCTTTTTACTCTGCAGGCGCTAGGAAGCTTCTACTTTCTTCATGAATCCTTAAAAAACATCTACCAATTTGACTTTAAAGGTAAGACGCCCCGCTGTCCTTTACGCCCTCTGGGATCTTCTGTCCTGCTGGACCCTGCCCGCTGCCTGTGCTCTGGCTTCTCCCGGCCCCTTCTGCCCAGCATCCCTGCGACAGGACTGCGTGTCCGGTTTCATCGAGGGTTTCCACGGTCACAGGCAGGGACTCGAGAGGACTCTTGCTTTGTGTCTTCTCTGAAGCCTCGATGGTCAGCCCTTCCCCTCTGGCCCCGGACAGCTTCCCCTCTGACCCGGGCCACACCCCTGCCACCCTCATGGCTCAGGCCAGGGACTCTGGTTTTCCTGTAATAGAGTTAAGAGGAGAAGGGAACGGTTTGTATCTGTGTGTCTGTCAAATGTGAGAAAGTGAGAAAAATGAAAAACGCAGCCAGACAGCATGTTTCAGGAAAGAGCGGGCGAGAGTGTGTTTGTGGCGGAGCAGACAGCGCTGCCCGTGTTCACTGGGCAAGCCCTTTGCGTCTCCGGGGCCCCGAGTGCCAACGTGTGGAGGCCGCGCGTCTGCCCGCAGGATGCGTGTGTGTTGGCCGCTCAGGCGGGCTCGACTCTGCATGTTTAGCGTCGAGCTCTCTGAGTCGCACCAGGCCCGTGGAGCCAGATAACAGGCCTCTGCGATGCCTCCCAGGGGTGAGGACTGTGGCGCGGCCGGCCTCACAGTCTGTTCAGAGTCATCCTCTCCGCTCACTCTGGAGACAGAGCATGCCCACAGGCCGAGAAGCAGTGATTCAATCAACCTGAGAACAGGGTCCCAGCAGCAGGTCTTCACCAGGCCGTTGCCTGCGGATTCTCTGCACATGAGACGCAGCCCCTGGCTGCCCCGCCGAGGGGCTGAGAGCGGCCCAGCAGACCTGGCGGGAGCAGGCTGCTCTCCCCACGCCCTTGCAGACACTGGACGCTGAGTGTCGTGGCTGCGGGGCCGTGAGCGAGGTGGGGGGAGGATGCAGACACAGCGGCTCCCGGCGCAGCTGCAGCAGAAGGGCTTTGCTTCTAAGGAACCTGCGCCTCTGGCGCTATAGGCACCACCNGAGGGGCTGAGAGCGGCCCAGCAGACCTGGCGGGAGCAGGCTGCTCTCCCCACGCCCTTGCAGACACTGGACGCTGAGTGTCGTGGCTGCGGGGCCGTGAGCGAGATGGGGGGAGGATGCAGACACAGCGGCTCCCGGCGCAGCTGCAGCAGAAGGGCTTTGCTTCTAAGGAACCTGCGCCTCTGGCGCTATAGGCACCACCTCTACTGAGCTTCTCCCCTTTTCAAGTAAGCCTTTGCAGAAACGCTGTGTTACTACATCAAAGTCATCATGAAGTGCCTGCTTAGCCCAGTCTACTCACAGCTGTACCCTAGACGTACGTTCAACTCCAGCAAGGCCTGCGCATTGTCATTGACAAGAACTGTGGTAACAGTTGTGGTCACGCCCTGAGCCGACAAGCCGCGGCGTGGCAGGTGGTCCCACCGACCCACAGCGGTGGGCGCGGCCGGAGTCTCGGGCAGGCGCGGCCACCGGCCCTTGCCCCCCAGCCCCTGCTCTTCAAGGCTTGCCTTTCTGCCTGAAACTGAGCTGCAGCAAAAGTAATCCAGATTTGTGCAGTTTGAACACACTTTAAAGAACAGACAGCCTGGGTTTTAACAGATATTTTCCTATTTAGAAAGTTGAGATGAGACAGATGAAAGGGGTTTCAGTTTCTGGTCCAACACGTGACAACCGAGGAAGTTGTTAGTTCAGCCTCACAGAAGAGACGATCCAAACCAGCAGTAAATAGGTGACTCTCCGTAGACCCCTCAGAGGAGCAAGGTCACGGGACAGATTGCTGCCCCTCAAGCTGGGGAGATGGCCGGGCAGGCCTGAGAGTCAGAGCCATAAGCAGAGACCATCATGCAGTCAGGTCATGGCAGGGAGACCACGCAGGGTCATCCTTAGGGCCTCCTTCGTGGGTTTGCCTCCAGGAGCCCCACCAGGTTCTCGGGATGAAGATGAAGGGAAATCCCTGTGTGCCTCTGGCAAGGGAGGGGAGAGTAGCAACTCTGAAACGCCCAGAGCGTTCCGTTCCTCCCAAACGCCTGACCTCAAGGAAAATCCTCGACTAGAGTGCAGCCCACTGGGGTCTGATCAAGGCCCAGCAACGGGGAGGGAGATGGGCAGCCCCAGCCTCCCCTCAGGTTCCTGTCGCACCTGGGCAGGCAAGAGGAGCAGGTTAAATCCAAAGCAAGTAGGAGAGAAGAAACAATGAAAATCAGAGCACACAGCAGTGAGACTGAAAACAGACACAGTACAGAAAATTAATGAAACCAGGAGCTGATTCTTTGAAAAAATCAGTAAAATTGGTAAACCTTTAGTCAGGCTAACAAAGAATAAAAGGCACTAATTAATATCAGAAATGAGAGAGGGGCCATCACTACTGATCCAGTGGACATTAAAAGGATAATATAGGGATATTGTGAACAAATCTGCGCCTGTAGATTTGATGACTTAGATGGCCCACTTCCTTGAAAGAGAGTCATCAAAACTCATTCAAGGAGGAGTAGATAATATGAATTATCTGTTAAAGGAAATTCAGTCAGTACTTCATAACCTTCTAAACAAGAAAGCCTCAGGCCCAAATGGTGTCACTGGTGAATTCTACTAAAGTTCAAGGAAGAAATTATACCGATTCTTTAGAATCTCTCCCAGAAAGTAAAAGCAGAGGGAAGACTTTCTAATTCATTCTACACAGCTCGCATTAGCCTGATATCAAGACTAGAGAAAGATATCACACAAAGGGAAGAGTACAGGCCAGTGTCTCTCATGAACATACAAAGCAAAATTCTCAACATATTGATAATATTAGCAACTCAAAACTAGCACATATAAGAAAAATTATGCACTGTGACCAATTCAGATTTACTCTAGGAATGTAAGCCTGATTCACCATTCAAAAATCAATCAATGTAATCCATCACATCAATAGGCTAAAAGAGAAAATCACATGACTATGTCAATAGATGTAGAAAAATAATTTGAGAAAATCCAACGCCAATTTATAAAAAAAACTCAGGAAACTAGGAATAGAGGAGAACTTCCTCAACTTGGTAAAGAACAGCTACAGAGATTCTGCACTAAGTCATGCTTAATAGTGAAAAACTATATCTAGATGCTTTTCCCCTAAGGTCAGTATCTAGGTGGGGTGTCCACTCCTACCATTTCTCTTCCACATCACACTGGAAATCTTGGCTACTGTAATATGACAAGAAAAGGACATAAAAGTCTTATTGATAGGAAGGCGTTGTCTTACGTCTTAGGTGACGAGTTTATATAGAAAGTCCTAAGGAACTAACATCAACAGCAGTAGCAGCAGAAACGAGTGCCAATAAGCAAGGGTGTAGGATGTGAGGTTAATAAGCATAAGTCAAGGGCTTTCGCTGATAGCATTTAACAGGTGGAACTCGAAATTAAGAACATAATATCATTTACATTAGCTCACATACCAAAAAGTACTTGGGAACAAACCTAACGAAACACATACAGTATTGGGGTTTCCTGGGGGCTCAGTGGTAAAGAATCCTCCTGCCAACGCAGGAGACACAAGTTCAACTCCCGATCTGAGAAGATCCCACATGCCATGGAGCAGCAAAGCCTAAGCTTCACGCCTACTGAGCCAGTGCGCCAGAGCCCGGGAACTGCAGCTGCTGGAACCCGCACGCCCTAGAGCCCACGCTGCACAGCCAGAGACGCCACCGCGTGAGAAGCCCGTGCCCCTCAACCAGAGCAGCCCCCACATGCCACAGCTAGAGAAAAGCCTGTGCAGCCGTGGAGACCCAGCACGGCCATACACAGATAAATTAGATGATTTTTAAAAGATATGTGCAATATCTCCATGAGAGAAACTATGAAATCTGATTAAAGGAATCAAAGAAGACCCAACTAAGTGGAGGGATAGTCCATGTTCATTTATAGGAAGATTCAGGATTGTCAAGTTCTTCCCAACTTGATCCATAGGTTCAACACAAGCTTGTTCTAAGTCCCAGAAAGTTTTCTTGTGGGTACTGACCAATTTATCCTAAAGTTTATATGGAGAGGAGGCAACAGACCCAGAATAGCCAACCCAGTATTGAAGGAGGAGAACAAGCTTGGAGGGCTGACACTATTCAACGTCAAGACTTTCTATAAAGTGACAGGAATCAAAACAGCGTGATGTTGGTGGAAGAACAGACAAATAGATCAAACGGAATAGTGAGGACAGAAAAGGACCCTCACACCCAAAGTCAACTGACCTTTAACAGAGGAGCAAGAGTAATAAAATAGAGCAAAGATAGTCTTAACAGGTGGTGCTGGGGTCTGTCCACATGCAAGGAAATGAATCTAGTCACAGACCTTGCACCTTCACAAATGCTAACTCAAAATGAATCAGAGACCCAACTGTGAAGTGTGAAACTATAAAACTCCTGGACGATAGCATAGGAGAAAACGTAGGTGTTTAGTGATGGTTTAGTGATGACTCTTCAGATGCAACACCAAAAACATGCTCTGTGAAAGGGATAACTGTGAGCTGGACTTTACTGGAGTGAAAACCATGTTCTCTCTCTGTTAAGAGGATGAGAAGATCAGCCACAGACTGGGAGAAAACATTTGAAAAGGCACATAAGGACTGTTATCCAAATAAAAAAGAGCTCTTTAAAACTCAGCAATAAGAAAACAACACAATTTAAAAGTGAGCCAAAGGAAGGCAGTGCCAAAGAATGTTCAAACTACCGCGCAATTGCACTCTCTTCACACGCTAGCAAAGCAATGCTCAAAATCCTCCAAACCAGGCTTCAACAGTATGTGAACTGAGAATTACCAGGTGTTCAAGCTGGATTTAGAAAAGGCAGAGGAACCAGAGACCAAACTGCCAACATCCATTGAATCACAGAAAAAGCATGAGAGTTCCAGAAAAACATCTACTTATGCTTCATTGACTACACTAAAGCCTTTGACCGTGTGGATCACAACAAACTGCGGGGAATTCTTAAGAGATGGGAATACCAGACCACCTGACCTGCCTCTTGAGAAACCTGTATGCAGATCAAGAAGCAACAGTTAGAATAGAACATGGAACAACAGACTGGTTCCAGATTGGAAAGGAATACATTAAGGGTGCATGTTGTCACCCTGCTTATTTAACTTATATGCAGAGTACATCATGAGAAACGCTGGGCTGGATGAAGCACAAACTGGAATCAAGATAGCCGGGAAAAATACCAATAACCTCAGATATGCAGATGACACCACCCTCACCTTCATGGCAGAAAGTGAAGAAGAACTAAAGAGCCTCTTGATGAAAGTGAAAGAGAACAGTAAAAAAGCTGGCTTAAAACTCAACATTCAAAAAACAAAGATCCTGGCCTCCAGCCCCATCATTTTATGGAGAATAGATGGGGAAACAATGGAAATAGTGACAGACATTATTTTCTTGGGCTCCCAAATCACTGCAGATGGTGACTGCAGCCACGAAATTAAAAGACACTTGCTCCTTAGAAGAAAAGCTATGACAAACCTAGACAGCATATTAAAAAGCAGAGACATTACTTTGCCAACAAAGGTCCATCTAGTCAAAGCTATGGTTTTTCCAGTGGTCATGTATGGATGTGAGAGTTCGACTATAAAGAAGGCTGAGCATCAAAGAATTGGTGCTTTTGAACTGTGGTGTTGGAGAAGACTCTTGAGAGTCCCCTGGACTGCAAGGAAATCAAACCAGTCCGTCCTGAAGAAAATCAATCCTGAATATTCATTGGAAAGACTGATGCTGCTGAAGCTCCAGTAGTTTGGTCACCTGATGCAAAGAACTGACTCATTAGAAAAGACCGTGATGCTGGGAGAGATTGAAGGTGGGAGGAGAAGGGGACGACAGAGGATGAGAGGGTTGAATGGCATCACCAACTCAATGGACATGAGTTATAGCAAGCTAAGGGAGATAGTGAAGGACAGGGAAGCCTGGCGAGTGAGCGACTGAACAGCAAAAGATTTGAACAGAATCTCACCCAAGAAGATACACAGATATGATGAAAAGCTGCTGCTGCTGCTGCTAAGTCACTCCAGTCGTGTCCGACTCTGTGCGACCCCATAGACGGCAGCCCACCAGGCTCCGCCATCCCTCGGATTCTCCAGGCAAGAACACTGGAGTGGGCGATGAAAAGCTATTCAACAGCATATGCCATCAGGGAAATGCAAGTTAAAACCCCCACACACCTGTGAGAACACCTGAAGTCTGCTGACACGCTGGTGGGATGTGGGGCAGCAGGAAGCCTCCCTCTTTGCTGGTGGGGAAGCAAAACGGTCCAGCCTCTGCGGTTCACAGCTCGATGATTTCTTGCAAAGCCAGACACACTCTTATATTTCTTGGGATTTACCCAAATGAATGGAAAACTTAATGACAACACACAGACCTATACAGAAATGTTTATAGCATCTTTTTTCATAATTAGCAAAAACTGGAAATAACCAGAGTGTGTCCTTCATAGTTGAAGGAATACACAGACTGTGGGCCATCCAGACTTGAAATATCTTCCAGCAGCAAAACGAAATGGCTGTCAAGACACAAAAACTCATGGAGGAAGCTCAAACGTGTGTTCCCGAGGGAACGTGGCCAGCTGGGGAAGGCCAGCCACAGTGGAGGCAGCAGAAGTGAGGCTGGCTGATCCGGGTTGGGTGGAGTGTGGTTTCCGGGCTAAGGAAGTGCTCTGTGAGGCTGCAGTGGTGGATAGCTGCATTTGTGACGTCTGCATCTGTCCGGACCCCCGGCACGCATGAGCTCACCAATGCAGGCTGTTGGGAAGCTATGAGAGTGAGTTAATCACTCAGTCCTGTCTGACTCTTTGTGACCCCAGGAGCTGTAGCCAACCAGGCTCCTCTGTCCTTAGGATTCTCTGGGCGAGAACACTGGAGTGGGTGTGTGCCCTCCTCCAGGGGATCTTCCCAACCCAGGGACTGAACCTGGGTCTCCTGCACTGCAGGAGGATGGGAACACTCCACTTTCAGCTCAATTTTGTAATCCCCAAGCTGCTCTAAAAGTAAAATCTTATTTGTTTGAGAAAGACCAAGGTCTCCTCCTACCCACCCCTCCCCAGTCTCCTCTTTCCTCAAGGGACCCAGGTTTCATCTCAGCAGAACTGCCTCCTGCCATGGCCCCCGCCCCCGCCCTCCTTCTGGCGTGCCTCCGGGCGGTCCTACGCCTGTGCCCGCCTGGCGCGCCGAGGGCGGGGGTGTCTGTCCCATGGATGTCCGTCTGTCCTGTGGACATCCGTCTGTCCTGAGGATGTCCGTCCATCCTGAGGATGTCAGTTCTGGGGGCCTCCACCCCACGCAGCACACAAGCCAATGCCCCGGGCTGGCTGTGGCGAGGATTCAGCTTTGCTCCAAGGATCCCTGTCCTCAGCAGACCTTTAGAAAGAACGTCCTTTATTCTCAGGTCCGGGCCAAACCCAGACCACGGCTGTTAGCTGAGAGGCCCCTCGGAAGGCAGGATAAATACCCGTGCAGGGCGCCCGGACGTGCGGGCCCCGTGGTACGCGTGGGGCTGCGGCTCCTGCTCCCCCGGAGGCCCCTCGGCGGGCAGCGCCTCCCACTGCTGAGGTCAGACGACAGAGGAGGGTGTTCCCAGGGCTGGGCAGGGGGCGGCAGGGCCAGGGCCGGACCTCCACGTGGCCCGTGCCCCCCGCAGATGCCGCGGGGGCCCAGGCTGCCCCTGCTTCCTCCGGCCCGCTCAGCCCCGCCCTACTCCGTGGGCTCCCTGACCGCCCCTGCCCTGACCCCACCCGTGCTGCGCACTGGCCGCTGTGCTCCTGTTCGGGAGTGGACTCCCTCCATCCTGGTGGTTCGGGCCTCTCTCGGCCCTTGTCTGTTTACCCTCCCCCGGCGCCAGCTCGTGGGCCTTGGGAGGCGGCAGTCTGCAGACCTGGGGGGCAGTTGAGGTGCAGAGGCGCCCATCGGCAGGGGCCCGGCTCGCTGGTTTGGGGACGAGGTCAGAGGTGCGGCAGGCCCTGCACAGCCCTGCCCTGGGGGGGGCCTCTCGTCACATCCCATCTCTGCTCCCTGGGCTCGCGGGACGGGCACTGCTCCACAGAGGCCAGCTGGGGCCGCTCGCAGGACCTGGGGCCGGACCCGGGGCACTCTGGCAGGAGACCTAATCCTCTGCCTGAGCACCCAGGGCCCTCCCCACGGCCCGCAGGGAGCAGGGGAAGTGTGATGTCCCCGCAGCGGGGGGGGGGGGGNGGGGGGGGGGGGCTCCCCAGGGCGGTCTCAGCAGGCCCTCCTGCGGCCAGGCTCCCTGCCGGCATCTGGGGGGAGCTCGCAGCCTTCTGCCCCCGGCCCAGTGACAGTGTGCGTTTAGCCCCATGGTGGATGCAGGGACAATGGTCTGTGAAGGGAGTGATCCTGGCCTGGGTGTGCAGGAGCAGACTGGCCCTGTGTGCGGGGGTCGGCTGGATGCGAGGCGGGCGGGGAGTGGGCCCAGAGCTCCCGGCCACCTTGCCTGCGACCCCCCACCCAGTCTCACATAAGGACTCCCCTTCCCTAGCTGTGAGTGATGGCAGGAGGAAATCAATGTTATTAAATAAATTTACCTTGAGCGCGAGTGGACAGTAATGCCACAGCCCTTTCAAGTGCAGCCGTTTGCTCACAGGAGCCAATTAGCCCCCTGTAAACCTGAGGCCAGGCGCTCCGAGGGAGATGAAGTCCAGGGTCAGGGTCCAGCCACGGGGATGGCGATTTATGGGCCCCGGGTCCTTGGGAGCAGCTGCCTGCCCGGAGTCGCGGCCCTCACCCCGCACGCTGCTGCCCAGGTGGGACGTGGACCCCGTGGCCCTGAGCCAGGGGTGGGGTGCAGAACCGAAGTCACCCTGGGCCTTCTTCCAGCCAAGAAGTACAAGAAGGTGACCGGCAAGGAGATCTACTCGGACACGCTGGAGAGCACGCCCATGCTGGAGAAGGAGAAGTTCCCGCAGGACTACTTCCCCGAGGTAGGTCACCGCCGGGGCAGCCAGCCCAGTGCAGGCCTGGGCTGCAAACGCGTCACACTCCGCGACAGGACATCCCCACCGCACCCCCATGCTGCCGTGCCCCGGCGTCCTGCTCTGCTGGAGGTTCGACCCGGGTGGGCTCGGCGGGGTGGCCTCGGGTGAGGGCTGGAGGACCTGTGGTTGGTGTCAGCCGGCATCGTCACTCCCAGGATAGAAGGCCCTTCCCCCAGGGGTGCAAGAGGACTGTCCCTTGGGGCTCCCAGCAAACCTCGCTGAGCGTGTTGGTCTGCTGGTGAGACTCCGGACGGGAGCGCTGGGACTGGGGGCGTAGGCCCTCGGGGGGCTGTCCTCGTCCCCAGGGTGCTGACCAGCCCCCACACTCCCACAGGGAAAGCCCTGGGGTGCGGTTCCCCCCGCCCCGGGTGCCTGCTCCCCAGGCTCCGGAAGCGCACAGAGGTGTGGATTGTTCCTCACCACTGCTGGGACACAGAAAGCCTGGGTGCGGTTCCTGTGGGTTTCAGGCGCTTTTGTACAATTTTGTTATTTTTATGCAGCCATTACGCTGCACACACAATTTTGGATCCCCGTACTTTTAGAGAATGTTGTAATAACCAGCATCCCCGGAGCCTCCTGACAGTGAAATCCACAGGTTGACCAGGCGGATCACCTTCCCTGGGGGCCTGTGGACACAGAGTGGGACATGACCCGGTGAAGCTTGGGGGTGGGGCGTGGAGAGCTGGGCATAGCCCTGCCCCCTCCACACACCTGGCACTTGAGCTGATTTCAGCAAGGCCACGGCTTTATTAACTTGCTTTATGACCCACTCCTGCGGTGAAGGAATTGTGGCCGCTTCCATGAAGGATGAGCCCCTCATCCCGCCAGGCACAGCTTCCCCATCCATTGTCCCCGCCAAGGACTTGATGTCAGGGGCTGCCTCCCAGCCCATCCACCCCACCCGCCCTCAGTCCCTGCCCCGGGGGCTGTCTCCTCTGCCCTGTGGGTTGCGGAGGGCGTGGCTGGGGCACCCCCTCCCCTGACCCCCACCCCCCCACCCCAATGCGGCCCAGCCCCGCAGTACCCCCAGGCCGTTGGCCAGAGCCGAGTTCAGCAGGAGGGTGGTCGAGCTTCCCAGGAACAGGGCAAGGGCTGAGAAGTCAGCCTGAGAGGCCGAGTCGTCTCCTGGCCCCACCCCATCCAGACTCCCCCCAGCTCCCCTGCAGCCAGCACTGGGCTGGCCTGAGAGGGACAGCAGTGGAAATGGTGCCGGCTCCGGGGAGGCTGGAGGGGCGGTCTGCAGGACCACAGGGAGCGTCTTGGCCTCTGACGGGGGGAGAGCCAGCTTGCAGGGGTCCGGGGGCAGTTAAGGGACAGCCCTGAGCCGGCCAAGTACCGGCTCTGGTGTTCCAGCAGCTTCTCTGCAGGGGGGACCCTGACACCCCTGGTGATGGCCAGGGTCCGTGCACCCAGCAGGGAAGGCCAGGGCGCCTCGCCTGGTCAGTGCAGGGGCTGGACAGCCCAGGGGCAGTGCTAGGCCCGCGGCCTCATGGCGCAAGGACTTGAGGGCCGGGTGGGGAGCCTTTGAGGTAGCCCCCCCTTCCCCCCCGCCCCGCCCAAGCAGCTTTGTATCTTTTTTTTTTTAGCTTAGTATCTTTCTTTGCGACTTTCTCCTTTAATCGGCACTCTTTTCCTGAACCTTGACGGGCCGGGCGAGTGCGGCCCCTGACTGGCGGGCACCCGGGCCTGCAGGCAGGCTGTGCTGGAGCCCAGCCCGCCGGTTCCCTCGCAGCACCACTGCCCCGGCCACTGCCCCCAGGGGCTTCCCAGTGTCCGGGACGTTGTCCCACTCCACACCCGCCAGGGTGGGGCGCACTTGGTGACCCGGCCCGAAGTGGACGTGTGCGGTACATCCCCGTCTCCCCAGAGACTCGGCTGATCCCCCAGAGCCTCTCATCCCTGTTGCTCGCAGCTGACTCGGAGGTTGGGGTCCTCTCACTGCCCTGTGGCCTTGGAGCCGGGTCCCCGGAGGCTCCCGGCCTGGGACTGTGGCAGTCCTCGGAGAAGGTTGTCCGTTAGGGTCACCGTGTCCTCCTGGGCAGGCCGAGGAGCCCCACGGATGAGGCCACTCCCTGCAGGGAGGGCCCAGCGCGTGACCCAGAGCCTCCGCGAGCCCGGCCCACCCCCAACCCGCCCGCTGTGGCTCCCGCCTGCACCCCTCCCGGGACCGTGGCCCCTTCTGAGGGCACCCACACCCCTCACCCTCAGGCTCTGCTCTGTGGGGCGCCCTCTCCAGGCCCCAGCGTGCCTGGGGTCCCCGCGTCTCTCCCTCTCCAGGTCCCAGCGTGCCTGGGGACCCCCGTCTCTCCCGGCCCCAGCGTGCCTGGGGTCCCCCCGTCTCTCCCTCTCCAGGCCCCAGCGTGCCTGGGGTCCCCCGTCTCTCCCGGCCCCAGCGTGCCTGGGGTCCCCGTGTCTCTCCCTCTCCAGGCCCCAGCGTGCCTGGGGACCCCCGTCTCTCCCTCTCCAGGCCCCAGCGTGCCTGGGGTCCCCCCGTCTCTCCCTCTCCAGGCTCCAGCGTGCCTGGGGTCCCCGCGTCTCTCCCTCTCCAGGTCCCAGCGCGCCTGGGGACCCCCGTCTCTCCCTCTCCAGGCCCCAGCGCGCCTGGGGTCCCTGCGTCTCTCCCTCTCCAGGCCCCAGCATGCCTGGGGTTCCCCCCCCCCCCGTCTCTCCTGCCAGGCCCTGGGGTCATGATGGGGGCAAAGGTGGGCGGGTGGATGGGTGGGCGCATTGGGGGCTCAGCCGTGGTCCCCCACACACACACCCTCTTAGGGAGGGGCCGACTAGGCTGCAGGCTCCGCGGGGCCCCCCTGCCCGCCACAGGCAGAGGGCAGAGTGCGTCTCTGGGGGAAGGAGGCGGGGTGCCTCTGTGGGGACCCAGATATCTGCACCAGGGCAGTGTGTCCTGGGACGAGGTGACCCCAGCCTGGGGCCCCCATTCCACCCCACAGAATCGCCCGAGTGTGTGGTCCACTGGGTCTGACGTTGTCTAAGTTTCCAGGACTTGTTCATTTTCCTTTCACCTTGATGAATTAACAGGAGGAACATCTTATTGAGAAAAACATACTTGCTTCTACCGTTCTGTCGACAGTCCGGGATTTCTCGGGTGTGAGAAACCCCAGGGCCACTGGCAGGACCACGTGTCTCCCGGAGGCTCCCTGGGGGTCCGTGGGGTCAGCCGGCCCTTTGCAGGCGCTCCTGCTGTGCAGGCAGGCCCGCCCGGCTGCTTCGTTCAGACACACTTTGGGGGAGGGAATTAGTGTAAGACTGATTTCTCTTTCTTTTATTACCACCGCTTAAGGATAATCTAAATGTAATTACCATGATGGAGGCATAATGCCATTCCAAATAATTACAGCCCACCGCGTCTAAAACCAACAGAACTCTCCCCACTGATTTACGGGTTCTTTTGGCTCAACATGCGTTTCAAACACTACCTTTGGGAGCAGCACTTCAGATAATGCGAGACCATTTTTAAAAAGCAGATTTGTGTAGTCGATTGGGGCTGAGGCGTTTTTTTTTTCTCAAGTCCGTAGTGAGAAATTGCTTGTTGCCATAGATCACGGGGCCGCTCCGAGCTCTTATGAAAGATGAATTAATTCCGCTAATGCTCCGAGGCGGGCCTTTCACGGGGGCTGTGTGCTGATAACCTCCCGCAGCCTCCCTTTTCTCACCGAGATTTATGTCGTCTTTTAGTAGATGAAGCCGCCTGTGTGCGCAATCCATCTGCTGGTAAAGGAATCCTATTAACGGGGCATCTGAGCGGGGACTTGATATTGTCAGCTGAACGGTGTGCCCCCACCCCCGACCCCCGTGGTCTCCTCTCCAGGGGTGAGGGCCTCTCTGAGAGTCGGGGTGGGTGCCGGGGGGCAGCTGGCCACCCCCGGACGCCACAGGGGCTGGAGAAGGTGGCGATGGCCAGGGAGCCCAGAAGGGTGGACGGGACAGTGGGAGGCAGGGGAGACCCCAGTCCCGCCCGTGCACCCTGCTTCCGTTTGCAACAGGCACCTACGTCCAGGAGCTTGTGCTCGGATGCCCCAGCCCCCGCCACGTGGGTGCGGACCGCAGGCCACTCTGGGGGCCCGGACACTGGTCCTGCTTCTGAAGGCCCGCCCTGAGCCCAGAAGCCGGGCCTCTGAGGCAGGGCCGCTCTGCACTGCGGCTTCTGGCTTCCTGACGTGCCCGAGGGCAGCGGGGTGGCGATGACCCCCTCCCATTATCTGCAGGGGCGGTGGTCCCGAACGGAGGGCCAGTCACTGCTTCTCTGGAGAGGCCACCGGGGCACGGGGAGGCACCAATGCCTGGTGCACCTGGAGACCCCACTTCGCCTCCCACCCTGGCGCTAGGAGAGGGCGAGGGGCCCCCCGAGGACCTGCCCCGGCCCCCGCGGGTGACCGCGCCCACGTGACCCTGGGTGCCGTGTTCAGCCTTAGGGGCTCCCAGGTCCTGCAGCAGCCGCACCAACCAGCGAGGCGGTTCTAACCAGCCGTGGTCAGAGAGGAGGCCAGTGAGGCCGTGTCCTGACGAAGACTCGTCCAGACTCAAGGCCGCTGTGACGTGGCCTGCCCAGGCTGTGCAGAGGACGGGGGCTACCAGCTGGAGCGGGTGTGGGAGGAGCCCCTCGTGAAGTTTGACTGTTGAGGGGGTGGTGAGGGGAGGCCCTTGAGCTGGGCGTCTGCGCTCAGTGGCCAGGCTAGAGCCCCTGTCTCCCCGGATAGGTGAAGCGTTGGGACCACATGGGCCCCTGCCCCTGCCCCCTGCCTGTCCCCACGGGCTCTCCCCACAGCCCTCCTGGGCACCAGCCCTGGACTGTCCTGGGAGGGCAGACGTTCCAGGAGGCCATGCCAGCATGAGGCTGCATCCTGGGGGTCAGGAAGGGCCCCGCGTGGCCGTGTGGGTTGCGCTGACCCCGCTGTGGCCCGACTCCCAGCATGGCAGAATCACAGAGCTGTCGTGGCCGCACCCCCCCCCCCCGCTGACCAGTGTGGCCTCTTTACCTTCTAGTGCAAGTGGTCGCGGAAAGGCTTCCTCCGGACGCGGTGGTGCCTCGCTGACTGGTATGTGCTCCACAGCCCCTGCGGCCAGCGCCCCCCTTCCCCCGGCCAGCCGGGGCTGGTGAGCCCTGCGATGCCCGGGGACCCCAAGCGTGGCCAAGAGGCCCAGGCCCTGCCCCAGCCCTCGCTGGTGGCCCCTGTAGCCACAGCCAGCAGCTGTCTGAGCACGGGTGGGGGTCCCTCGGGTAGTTGGGCGCCGCCCCCCCGCCGGGACAGGGCACCTTGAGGAGCCTGCGCCCCACCCACGCGGCGTGTACCTGTCCACCTGGGTCTGCACTGCAAATGCTCCGCTGGGGGAGGCCCGACCTGCCGCTGGCTGACCGCTGTGGCCCCTCCTCGGGACCGCCCCCCATGTCCACACGACCCCCCTTGCTGGGGCAGCACGCAGTCGGGGCGTCCCCTGGGCGGGGGTCCCAGAGCTCTGGGGTGGGAGAAGCCGAGACCGCTGTAGCCTCCTGACCCGGCCCCCAGCTGCCGCCCACGGCCCAGGGAGGGGCTCCGGGCTCAATGGTCACCATGCGACCAGAGCAGAGAGCTGGCGCTTCCTCCATGTGCTTGGGCGGGGGTGGGGGGCGTGCTGTCAGGCTGGGTCTCAGGGCCTGGTGGCCCCAACTCCGCAGGGGACATGGAGCCCACCCACCCCTCTGCTGTGAGCCAGACAGGCCCCAGCGATGCCCTGGGGCTCCCGGCGGCCATGGGCCCACCCAGCCTCCCCATGCCCCTGCAGGCCCACAGGAGGCATGGGCCATGGTCTCTCCCCAAGGCTTTCCAGGGGCTGTGAGCTCACGGCTGCTTCTGCAGAGTGAACTGAACCCCCCAGCGCCCCGACACTCCGCAGGGAGTGCTGACCCATATGGGGCCTTTGGGTGCACGGCCAGCTATGTAGGGAGCTGAGACCTGGGCAAGCACCCAGCTCCTCCCTGCCCGCTCCTCCCCATCCTCCCTGTCCTCCCCACTCCTCACCGATCCTCCCCCGTCCTCCCCGTCCTCCCCCGTCCTCCCCGTCCTTCCCACCCCTCTGTTTTGGGGAATGGTCCTAGCATCCTCTTTGGGCCCCCTTGCTGCTGGTGGTGACCTTTGTGTGTGGGTCCTTCCTGTGTGAGGGTTCACGCGCGTGAGTCCAGCGTGTCCTCCGACCACACGTCAGAGGAGGACTTGTCCGGGGCAGCCTGGTGGCACCTGCCCAGGGAGCGGGGTGGGATGGCAGGAGGCCGCCCAGGGGACCCAGCAGCTCCAGCCGCGTCCTGAGCTTCCTGTCTGTCCCTGCAGCGCCTTCGACTTGGTGAACATCCACCTCTTCCATGATGCTTCCAACCTGGTTGCCTGGGAGACCAGCCCCTCCGTGTACTCGGGGACCCGGCACAAGGCCCTGGGCTACGTGCTTGACAGGTGGGTGCTGAGGGGCCCCCTGCCCGCCCGCCTCTGGGGAGGGTCACGGCCGGCTTCTCACCTTGTCCTCGCTCGCTTTCCCGTTTGCCAAAAATACAAATGTCGGCCCGAGGATAAAGCACAAGCCCCGACCCTGCCCCCTGCCCCCTGCCCTCTGACCCCTGCCCGCTGAGTGCCGCCTCCCTCCCCGCTCTGCCCCTGCTTCTCAGTCCGAGCTTCAGGCCCCTGACCAGAGGGAAGACCACCTCGGTGGTCTTCAGGACGCAGGCCTCCACCTCCTGCCCCGGCTCGCGGCCACCCGGCCCCATCAGAGCCAGTGCGCAGGGCCCCACCTGGGCCCTCTGGTCCTCGTCTGTCCGCGGTGATCTCCCGTGACCTCCACCACGTCAGCGCCAACACGCTGTCGTCTGGGAGGGAGAGGCAGTCTCACCCCAGCTAATCTGCCGTTGAGGCCTGGTTCGCCAGAGCCCAGCATCTGCGAGCCCCCCGCACAGCCCCCGCTCTCAGGGGGCCCGGCCCACCTGGCCTTGGGAAGCGTCTCCAGTTTCCCCAGCGCCCTGCCGGCCAGCCCTGACCCCAAGTTGTGCTTGGCCAGGACACGCCCTGGATGGAGTGGGAGGCCAGGGTTCTGTGCCCTGGGATGAGGCAGTGGTCACCAGCTCACTCCCAGGGTCCCTGAGGTCCTTCCGGCACCCTGAGACCCCGCACGTGGGGGACACGGGGGTCTGCCTGCCCTTGCCGCCTCCACAGCGAGCTCTCCTCGGGGCTGGGCGTCCAGCTGTGCCCTGAGCTGGATGTCGATCCCCGGAGGCTGGGACAGCATGCTGGACCAGAGCATTCGCCGCTCGAGGCCAGGGTAGCCAGGCGCAAGCACGGCCAGGTTGGTGCTGAGGCTCCGGGCGGTCAGCCCTCAGGGGCCTCGGCCTGCAGCCCAGGTGGAACAGGCTGCTTGGTCCAGGAGGAGGGGCGCGCGCTGTCTCGGCAGACTCGGGAGCAGCCCCGCTGGGAGGGGTGAGCCTCTCAGTGGCCGCACAGGCCTCCTAGGCCGCCTTCACGGCAGCGCCGAGCCAGCCAGGGAACGGGCCGCCCTTGGAGGCTGCGGCCGGTCGGCAGAGGCGAGTGGCCTCAGGGCCTGTCAGGGCTTGAGCTGCTGCGCGGCCCCCGGGAAGCGGCCTCCGCGTTCCCATGCACGGCGTCTGTGGGGCGCCCAGCCAGCCGCGTCCGGACCTCCCGGTGCGGCCGGCGCCCGCACAAAGGGCTGCTCTGTGGCGGTGAGTGACGGACGCCCTTTCGTCGGGGCTGCTAACCTTTTGGCAGCCACCAGCAGACTGCATTCTGCTCTGCCGATGGGAGCACAATGCCACGCTGGGCCTGAATGGACGCTGCCACCAAGGGGGCCCCATTCAGGGCGTTGGGAACCTCTGGGAACATTGTCTGCGGCCAGTGTGGACGCAGAGAGGCAGCGTGGGGGTCCCATCTTAATCTCCCTGGAGGGCCTCACAGGCCCGTGTTTCCACCCGGGTGTGGGTGTCAGGCCCTGCAAGCCACGTCCTGCCCCCATAGGCTGGCCCAGGGGACCTGGGTTAAGACTGAGAGGCACCTCATGCCCTGCTTGCAACTGTCCTGTGACTCTAAGATTATTTCAAAGTGAAAAGCTAACTTATAAAGAAAAACACCCATGAGGAAGACTCTGGTCTGAAGTGTGTGAACTTGCAGACATATCTGCACTTCTTGCTGCGAGGGGCTTTGTGGGGAGGAGTCACCGCAGAGATGCCAGAAAATAGACTTTCCAGTGTTACTAGAGGGCGGATTTTATGGCAAATAACTGATGTTTTGCGCAATAATTTCTTGCTTGAAATCTCTTGTTCTGAAAGGTTAGAAGGAGACCGACCTCTAGTTAGGGAAGCGTACCAGGCTTAAAGATGTGGGGATGGCAGTATCAGGGCCTCTGCATGGGGCTGGGGTCCCATCCGCCTGGGGGGGGCTCGGATCCTCCCCGGGTCTCGGGGGGCTGTGTGCACCTTTGTACCCGTGGGGGGTCCCTGTCAGGCACACAGCTAAACCCTGGCGGGGGAGCGTTTTGGGCGTCAACCCAGCAGCAGAGACCAGCTCACACAGCCCTTCCTGGCCTCTCCCAAGCTCTGGGCCGTGAAATGAGGTTTTTTTCCACAAGTGACAGGGCCCTTGTGTCTCCCTTTGCAGCGCGGCCCGGCCAGGTCCATAGGAACAATTTTACATCACAACTGTGAAATCCGGGCAGAAAGCACCCCTTTGTCCCCTGGTGTCTGCTCACAAATACAGTCCATTGTCACAGCGCTGAAGTTAATTTGGTCAACATTGGGACATTTAACTTTTATGTCCGGTCAAAAGAGTTGTTTCATGCTCATTTTGGGGCATTCAGAGAAAATGATTGCCAGAAAAATAAAGCTGCCCGGGGCGACTCCGAGCAATTAGTTCCCAGGGAGCTGCGGCGTGACGCGGCGGCCACACAGCCCCCTTTGTCGTCCTGCGGGCGGCCATCCGTCAGCTGTCAGCCGCTCAAAGGCCCGCGTCCTGCTGCTTCTCTCTGGGCCGTTCCCAGAGCTCGCCCCGCCAGCCAGCCGGCAGAAAAGAAAACCTCTGGTCTCCAGGCAGAGGCAGGCCCCGTGCTAAGGATGCAGGTCGCCGGGACGCCCTGCACAGTGGGCCCCCAGGGCGGCTGCTGTCCCCGTGTCGGAGCCCAGCTTGGACGCGGGCGTCCGGGCCCAACGGGCAGCCTCCTCGCCACCCCGGCTCCTCATCGGCCAGAGGGCAGGGCCCCCGCGTGTTCCTGGCGTTGGGCGGGAGGGCGTGCGAGGTCCCGGGCTGGCCCAGGAACGAGCTGCTGTCCTGACATCATGGGGCTGTGATCCTGTGTGTCACAAGAGCAGAGCGCAGCGCCAGCGGAGGCGAAGTCGGGGCCCCCACTCACCGCGCCCGCATCGCCGTTTCTGTGTTGTCCTGCTCAGACGGAGTCGAGGGTGCTGCCAGGCCCGCGCTCACGCTCTGAACCTGTGTCCCACCCTCCCCATCCCAGTGGAGGGTCATCCCACCCCACCCGGGGACCCCCTGCACATTCCCGCATGGCCGTGTGTGGGGGGGGTCCCCGTGGTGTGTTGGCGGCATCTGTGTTTGCGGGGTGCGGGCTCCCACGTGCATCCTAGATAACATCCCGACTGCCATGTGGACGGTGCACAACCGCTCCCTCCGCGGCGTGTCCCGGTTCCAGCATGTCCACACCACAGCTCACTGCCCCTTGAGGTGGCGCCTCCGTGCTCGTCCACCCGCTGGCCTCACTTTCTTGGCCGCTGTTTAGGCTGCTCGAGCCCTCCTTCGCTGCTGGACTGTGACCCCACCAGCCCACATGCTCAGTCAGGCTGAGCCGCGCAACGGCCTGTGTCTCCCGAGGGCCCGAGGGTCTCTTCGTGGGCGCCGAAGGGCTGAAAGGTCCCATTCTCGAGCCCCAGTGCTGCTTTCCTGGGCTGCGCGTGGAGCCCAGCGGCCCAGGAGGCTGGGGCACGTCTCTGCTCCTCGCCGGTGGTGGCGTCCGAGCAGAAAGGTGCTGTGACGTCACCGTGCTGTTAAAAGGACAAGTGAGAGTGAGTGCGAGCGGGCAGCATGCCCGGGAGGCCTGGAGCAGCCGGCCCTGGAGACGCGGATGCCCCACGGGGATCTGACTGAGAAGGGCCTGCAGCCCCCGAGGCAGCCCCGTGGTTGGGGCGGTCTGTGCACAGACGGAGCTCAGGCAGGAGCTGGGGCAACGTGTGCATCCCTGCAACTCTGGGCTCAGTCAGCGTGGCCGGCTCTGGGAGGCCTGCATCCTGGTTGGACGGCGATGGCCGCCTTCTTGCCATGTCCTCGGGGGACAGAAGCAGCCGCAGGCCTCTTCTCTCATGGACACCTGTCCTGTTGAATCTGGGCCCACTTTCATGACCCCATTTGACCTTAATTGTCTCCAGTACCGTTTTGAGGGGACTGGGCTTCAACATACAAGTTGGGGTTACAGTCCAGTGCCCAGCAGGGCCTCAGGCCTCGTTCCAACAGCAGAGCTCCGGCCACCAGCCCACTGAGACTAGGGTGGGCGTTTCCGACGTGGGGTGCAATCCCTGGGAACTCAGCAGCTGGCCCAGCACTCTCTGTCCTGCTGCTCTGGGCTGTGGCCTCCCCAGGTCTGCCCCACGTGAGGGCTGGGGCCCGGGTGCCTCCAGTGCCAGGACCCTGAGTGAGTGAGGCCAGGGGGCTGTGGTGATGGCTTGGCCTGGCCACCCGCTGCGCAAGGCATGCACCCATCATGGGTCCTGGGGCGCCCGGCCTGGGAGACACTGTCTGGGGGAGCAGGTGTGGCGGGCAGGTCCCTGGGGCCCCTCAGGCCTGTGAATCGCAGGGACCTGGCGGAACCCCGGGGGTGGGCGTGTTGGGGGGGGCTCACCCGCCTGGCTCTGCTCTGTCAACAAGAGGGTCCTTCCCCAGTCACCTGGGCCCCCACCTCAGGCTCCTTGTGCCAGCAGCTGGCACGCCAGGGACCGTCCCCCAGGGCTGAGGCCCCCCCCAACCCACACCAGGGACTGTCCCTGGGGCTGCGGCCCCCCCAGCCCACAGCCCACGCCAGGGACTGTCCCCGGGGCTGAGGCCCCCCCAGCCCACGCCGGGGGCCGGCACACCACACGGGGCGGCGTAAGCATGCAGTCCCAAGAGTGGCTTCTAGGAAGGTCGGCCTGCTGGCGGCAGCTCAAAGGGAAGCCTGAGCTTCCCTTGTCAGAAGCTCCCACCGCTGTGTTTTGCTGATCAGGTTGTTCTCTCCGAGCACGTGGCCTCCCCCAGATCCGAGACAAGCCCGAGGTTGGGAGGTTGGTTTCTACCACGTCCAGCAGATAAAACTAACAAAAGAAGGCCCCAAGCCCCGCTGCCCCGCCCAGCAGCCTGCCCGTGGCCTGAGCATCACGCAGTGAGCTCACCTGTCAGCAGAGAGAGCCTCCATCTTCAAGGCCTAAACCATTGATTTTTATGGCCTTTCTTGTGACTCTGCTTCTGAATTAGGCACACGGTATTGATGTGGGCACACTTTTTAATCATAATAGCTACTGACAAGGTAATTAATTTTAAAACAACTCTTTTTCCTGCTGGTCCGAACGGCGCTATATTGAGATTAAAAGCGCGGGCTTCGCCCGCTCTCCGGCGATTGCCTCTGTGGACAGCCGCTCCATCTCGCGCCCATGCTGCGGTTATTGATGGGCGTGGGCCATTACGGCAGAAAGAGCAAAGCCCGGAAATATGATAAAGTTTAGGGTTTTAATGATGGAATTACATGACGAGACAAGGTGATGAAATCTGTCACCAGTCACCACGGCTGTCACAAGAGAAGCCACTGGGCTGGGTCCCAGGAAGGCTGCCCAGCACAGCCTCTCACCCTGCAAGCCCCCAAGCTTCTCAAAGTCCGATAGTAAATCGGAAATCGTTACTTTGTATAAAAGGAAATTACCCCCAAAACAGGCCGCACAGTCGTCCACGTCCCCAGTTCGGCATTGGCCGTTTGCTTCGCTTCCTGGTCTCAGGGTCCGTCTGTCCCCCGGCGACGAGGGCCATCAGCCGGGCTCCTGCTTCACCAGCCCTTCCGTCATTTGCTCGGTGCCTCGAGCCTCCGGGGAAGCCCCCGTGGGGACCGGAGCCCAGACTCAGGCCGACCCCGTGCGTCCCTCCGCCCCCGGCCGTGGCCGCCTCCCGCCCCCGGGAGCAGGAGAGGGCCGTGGCCCCCCATTGCCGCCACGCCTCTTCCGGAGTGCGGGCGGGGGGNCAGGATGTCCCAGGAAGCGCGGCGCCCTGGCCTTTCCCACCGCAGGGAACAGGGCAGGTTCTTTAAAAATAAGATTGAGCACAAACGCGCTGGCTGGAGAACGTGTAGGGTCCAGGTCCCCCTGCGTCTGCGCCATGACCGTCGCCGTGCTCATGTGTGACGCGCAAGCCGACACCGCGGCAGGGCGATGCCCGAGGGCAGCGGGTTTGCCTGAGTTCAGGGCTGTTCTCCGGGACCCTGCTCCTCGGCTTAATAAACAGGGTGACAGACCATCAGGACAGGGAGTGTAGGTGTGTGACATGTAAGGTGTGTCTGCTTCCTCCCTTCAGCAGATCAAGCGGAAGCTTTGCCTCAGTTCAGTTTTCCTTAAAAAGTTAATAAATACAAAGAGCAAAAGAAAAGTGAGGTGTTTGAGTGGCTTGAGATCATGTGTTGGCGGGAGGTGGTCCCAGGCCCCTGCGGGGGTCACCACCCCCTGCTGGTCCCCTGACCCAGGACACCCTGACCCGGGGCCCCCTGACCCAGGGCACTGAGGGCCGCCCCCAGGTCTCCCTTTGGAAGCAGCCCCCCTGGGCAGGGCAGGGGTCAGAGGCCAGAAGCTGACCCTGGGGGCCTCCAGGCCTCTCCACGGGGAGTGGGGTCGCCCAGCATGAGGCTGGAGGGCACGGGAAGGCCCTGTCCCCCCCCCCACCCCCCCGCATCGTGCAGCCAGTGGTCAAGGCAGGGGCTGGGAGGGCCGCCGTAAGGGGAGCAGGTTGGGGGCTTTTTGTAGAGCAAGGTGGTGTTTCCCGTGGGCGTCGCTCCCAGCCGCCGGCTGGGCTACGGAGGCAGGGCTGGGGGGGCCTTGCTGCCTCTCCTTTCCTGGGGAGGGGGGCCGTGCTCAGGGCCCCTGGAGGTGGGCGACCCGGGGGCCACACCCCACGTCCTGATGGGGACACCATGCAGGTTCTCTGAGGCGTGTTCTTCTGGAGGCGTTTAACAGCTCTGAAGATTCACTTTTTCAAGATGGCTCAGGTCACAACAGTCTGTGGGGAGGTTCCATCCCCCCCGACACTGCCCGTGGATGCCCAGTGGGTGGGTGGGGTAAGGGGCAAGGCTGGTCCCAGGTGCAGGGCTCCCCCGGGGCCGACCTTAGGGCCTCCCCGAGTTTTCATCCCTGGGGAGTGTCTCCTCTACAGAAGATTTAACTTTAACCCAAGAAGCGACATTACTGCTCATCTGCACTGTTAGTAACAATCTGTTAAAATATGTCCTTTCTCTTCAAACTCGTGTGTGTGAGAATCAATCCAGTTAAACCAGAAAACAAGACTTTTCCTGGAATTTAACAACATGATACAGCAGTTAATGTGCAAGAAAAACATGGAAACAGCTGAGATTTTTAGAAGAATTTCAGTGAGAAGCGCATCTGTCATGAAGTACTGTTACTTAAAGCGACAGGAATGGGACAAACATGTGCAGGAAAGGAGAGTTTCCGAAGACCTGGCAATCAGGGACTCTGCAGGCTCCGGCAGGGAGGACTGAGCGTTTCCTGCAGGGTTAGGACCAGTCACCTCTGGAGAGACCAGTGGACTCAGATCCCGTCCTCCAGAGCAATTCCAGATGGATTAAAGGCCGCCGACTCCTCCCGGAGCAGAGCCAGCCTGGGGGAGAATGCCTGGGGCCCAGCGGGGGGACGTGGGTGTGTTTCCTGCAAGGAACTGAAGGCCCCCGGGCAGTGCAGGAGCACAGGGCTCCCGGTGCACTTTCCAGGGGAACTCCTGGAACTCAACGCTGGAGGCAAGGAGCCAAAAAGAAAAGCGGGCAGGAGCAGTGGTGGGGAGAGCGTGGACGCATGTGAGAGGCGCGGCCGCCGGCCTTCCCGGGGACGGGGGGTTGGGGGGGTGATGGATGGATGGACGGACGGGCAGAGCCCCACACCAGTTGATGGGCCTCCGCCCAGCACCATGAAATGGCGGTGACGCTGCTCCTGGCCACCTCTTCCTTCTCAGCCAACAAGTCCCTGGGAAAGGCCACCCCGGGGGGCTGCTCTCGCCCTCCACGCTGGGGCCCGCAGGGGTAACCGGGCAGAAGTTTCTGAGTTGATTGGGGGTGAGCGGTGCTCCCTGGCTCTGCCTGCCTGTGACACTTGCCTTCTCAGGGTCCACCGTGGGCCGAGTGGGCGCCCCCCACCCTGGGCCCCGGGGCCCCTGCTGCCCTGTCTCAGTGGGGGCATCTGTGCAGCCACGGCTGGGCAGCGAGCTGCCCTCCCCTTCTGCTGGGGCGCACGTCCGTCCTGCGAGCGGTCCTGTTAGCAACAGTTCTCATCCTGCTTTGAGCCAGAGGTGACCAGCACAGGCTTCCTTCGCCCCCCCCCGCCCAAGGCCAGCGTGGTTCCCATACCAGCTCTGCTGAGGATCACGGCCTTTGGGGCGCAGGGCTGAGGTCGGGTGTGGTGGGCGGGCTACACCTCAGTGACTCCTTCCCTCCTCTCCTCCCAGGATCATCGACCAGCGGTTCGAGAAGGCATCCTACTTTGTCTTCGGCGATTTCAACTTCCGGCTGGATTCCAAGTCCGTGGTGGAGGTAGGCCCCGTGGGAGCCTCACCTGCGTTTGGTTGTGTTGTGTAAACAGCAGAGCCCGTGGTCCTCAACAGGCACGTTCCCGCCCTCCTGCTCACTGGTTTGGTTATGGCTGAAACGCCTCTTAAAGGACGCCGTAATGTTACGGGGGGCCCATTATGGGAAGCTGGGGCAGGAGGCTGCGGTGATGATGCCTCCTGGTCAGCGGTTCACGCCCGGTGCCTCCACTTCCCCTAGCGTCTCCTGAGCCCTCAGGGGGCTGGGTGAGGACCCAGTTAGCAGCAGGCATGGGTGGAGCTGGGTCAGACCAGCCGGAAGGTGCCCGGGTCCGTCAGGTCCTAGCTGGGGGGCCTGGAGCCATGGGCTGGCTTCTCTGAGCTGGCGCTTGGCCGCCACATTTGACTCGTGGTGCTGCAGGCTGATGGCGAATACAGGGCCTCGAAGTGGGGAGTCTGCCTGCCGCCCAAGGGTAGCAGGTCCACCCAGACCCTGGCCTGGCAGGGGCAGCCCACAGAGCCCGCCCAGCGTGGGCCCACCACACGTGGGTGTGTGGGTGACCGTGTCCCCCATCGTCTCCCTCTGGCCTCTCAGGTACAAGTGACCCCCCCCTTGCAGAAGGCTTCCTCTTAAATCTGAGCACTGCGGGGGCACAGGCACGTGAGTGTGGCAAGCGGCTGTCCGCCCCTCTGGCGTTTTCAGACAAATGATGAAAGCCCGCGTTGGCTCAGTCAGTGTCATGGACCCCCTGGACGTGCCCCTTTGAGGCCCGGGCGATACCCGTGTGCACGCGGTGCTGGGAGGGGCTCGGGCCCCGGTGCCCACAGCCATGCCCTCACCCGCAGAGCTTCTTCGTGGGTTGAAAAGCCACATTGTCCCAACTTGAGCCCCCGAACCAGGGCATGTCTGGCCGGTGTTTGGGCCCGATGAGCCTGCTGTGCCCGGAACAGCCCCTCTTCTGGCCCAAGGCCCCATGCCAGGCCGTGGCCAGACCAGGGCTGGTGCCTGGGGGCCATTAAGCCACACACTGGGAAGAGTCAGGTGTCCAGAGTGGCCTTCTCGTCTTCCCCAGAAGGGCAGACACCACAGAAACGGCAGCGGCTCCAGGACCAGGCGGGACTGCCCCGGGGACACGGGCGCCCAGGGCTCTGGTGTCCGCGGTGGGTGGGGGGAGCTCAGGGCGTGGCCCCTGGAGGGGAGGGGCTGTGCCAGGCCGGTGGGGGGGCGCGGGCAGCACAGTCAGGGCCTCCGGCCTCCTGCAGCGTTGTCCCCTTCCCTACCAAGTGGGAAGCAGAGGACACGGCCCTGGGCGTGTGCAGGCATGAGCGGGCGTGTGTAGGCGTGAGCGGGCGTGTGCAGGCGTGAGTGGCCATGTGCAGGCATGAGCAGGTGGGTGCAGGCGTGAGCGGGTGTGTGCAGGTGTGAGCGGGCGTGAGCGGGCGTGTGCGGGTGTGAGTGGGCGTGTGCAGGCATGAGCGGGCGGGTGCAGGCGTGAGCGGACGTGTGCAGGCGTGAGCGGGCGTGTGTGTGGAGCTGGACCAACCGCACACCCCCATAAAATGTGCGACCCCTCTCCCCTCCCCAGACCCGTCTACCCAGCATCCCTTCTCCTGACTCTTCCCCTTCAGACCTTAGCTTGACCTCAGGGACCCCCACTGCCATCACCCTAGAAGAAGAACTTCCGCCACACAGTGACCGCGATGCACAGATGGCTGGTGCTGGCCAGGGTCTCAGGGGGGCTCTGGGCGGGGTCGCAGGGGGGCTCTGGGCGGGGTCTCAGGGGGCTCTGGGCGGGGTCTCAGGGGGCTCTGGGCGGGGCCGGGCAGGCGCTGCCCACGGCAGGGCTGTTCATCCTCCTGTGTGTTCTCCCTGAGCAGTCAGCCTGGCCTGCCCAGCCCAGCACCCTCAGGACATTGGAGCCCCACGTCCTTGACCACAAGGGACAGGGGGGCAGCGAGCAGGTGGCTCGGCCGGAGCGGGGGCCTCCCTGGCCTCCCTGCCCTCGGCTTCTGTGGCCGGCCGCCCTGCACCTGCCCCCGACCCTGGTGTCCTGCCCCATGAGACAGACCCAGCGCCGGCTGAGCACCCCACCCTGCCTGCCTCTCCCGTGGGTGACCCCGTGAGAGCAGGTGCAGGGCAGTAGTTCGGCCGCTAACAGAGTCGAAGATGCCCCGCGTGCCCGCGTCCCTTCCTTGGGAGGTGAATTAACAGGCAGTGAATCAGCTGTGACCTCCAGGTTAGGCGTTTTATGTCTTAATCAGAAGCCCCACTGACTGTACTGCGGACCGCACATCCGCGGTGCTGGGAAGCCCAGAGGGACCCACGCGGTGACGGGTCTGGAGCCACGAGGGCCGAGAGGCTGCCCGGCACTGGGAGGTGGGGCCAAGGTCGCCCAGCGAGGGGCATGGCCGGGACCATCTTCGGGCCAGGGAAGGTCTGAGGGGCATGGTCAGGGTCCCCCTGTTCCCCGACCAGACGTGGTTGTTTCAGCGACAGCTCTTCGCAGCAGTGCCTGGTTCCAGTCCGCGAGGCTGGGTGCCCTGGCCTAGGAGAAGCCGGGGTCCCGTGGGGCATCGAGGATGCACAGCGTGGCGTGTGATGTCGGGCCCACCCCCGTGTCCCATACAGTCGCCATGTGGCCTTTGGCCCCAGGCATGTGCAACCGATCAGGAACGTCACAGCGACCGCCTATGTTCTGAAGTTCCCTCTAAAGACACGGCTTTGCCTGGCGGCACCTCCCGCGCACAGCCCTGGGGCCCCTGGAGTGGCGTCTGGGGGCTCTGAGCTCGGGGGCGCCCTCCCTCCCGTCGGCTCCGGGGGGCCTCCGCTGGTCCTCGCGGGCTCCCAGCCTGCCGGCCCCCCTGCCCATGTGTGGACAGCGCAAGTGGATGCAGGCTGCCCCGAATCCAGGGGGGGCTCGGCGGGAGGGCTGTGACCAGTCACGTTTGCCAAGGCTGGGTGCTCAGCGAGGCCGCCACTGAGCCTGGTGCAGCTGCTGCCCTCCCGCCAGCCGCAGGCTTGCTCTTCCTGCCCGAGCTGATGCCGTCGGTAACTCGGAAAACATGCTTGTGGGCACGCCTGGATCTAAACGGTCAGCTGAAGACGACCAAGCTCCTCTATTGGGTTAACTTCAGCAGCTTTCCTACTGAGATCTTCAACTTCCACCTGCCGTGTTAGCATCTCGTGGACTGACGGGGTCTGCTGGCCACCGGGCCGTTCTGGAAGGATTTCTCCCTGTGGAAGCCACTTGGAGAAGCTTGTAGGAACCAGAGAAAGCTTCCCCAGGTTTTCCCAAAAGGCTGCTGGGCAGAGGGAGGGCTTCCTGACATGAGCGGCAGCATGAGAACCCGGTACCAGGCGAGACTGCCGGGACTTCGCCACCTCAGGGCCGTGGCTGTTACCGGGGAGCCAAGTGAGGGTGGGGGGGCCCCTTCTTGGGGCTTGCACGGTCCCGGGGAATGGGGACTCCAGGAGGGGGGCCGGGGCTGGGGTGCCCCTCTGAGGACTGAACCCAGGAGTTGCGGCCCCGGCCCTTTGCTTCCAGACAAGAGGCACAGGGCTTGACCCGGGGCCCTGGCCTGGGACCGACCCTCCCCCGGGTGTGAGCAGCCCCAGCGGCGACCCCGAGAGA